GATGGTGGTGGTGGTGAAGGTGAGGATGGTGGTGGTGGTGATGGTGAGGATGGTGATGGTGATAATGCTGGTGGTGGTAATGACGATAGTGGTGATGATGAGGGTGATGATGGTGGTGGTGATGATGGTGATGAAGGTGATGGTGAGGATGGTGATGGTGAGGATGGTGATGGTGAGGATGGTGATGGTAATGATGGTGGTGGTGGTGGTGTTGCTGCTGCTGCTGAGGGTGATGATTGTGATTAAGGTGATGGTAGGGGTGACAATGGCGATGATGATGATGGTGGTGATGATGATGCCATGACCTTCTTGCATATTTTCTCCCCACCAGACTCTACCCTAAAGACTCTACACTTATCCACCCATCCTGTTCTCCCGGCAGCCTCCAAAGTTGACATGGTTGCCTTCAGCATTCTGTAGATGGAGGGTCAGGAGTCTGGTAAAGTCAAGCCAGTAGGGCACAAGGTTCCCCAAGTAGGGGGCAGAGTCAGAATTTGAACCCTGGCCAGGTGTCTCCCTGTCATTTGAATTTTGCCTATGAGATCAGAATTCATGGGGACGTGTGCAGTACTGGTTATTTTCACTGGGTCTAAGACCTTAGAGAGTTGGATAGATTGTGTCCATTAAATAAGACCCAACAATACAGGAAGTAGGAACAGTATTATTTATTGAGCACTTGCTCTGTGCCCACACCTTTGCAGATCTGCTCACTCGGTTCCCCCCACAACCCCAGGACTAAGTAGTTAGTATACTCTACGGCCACTTTATGATTGGGAAGCCAGAGGCCTGAGGAAGAGCAAGGAATTCCATGCTGCCAGGCTGGTGCGATCTACACCCGGCCCACAAGGCAGCACCCTCTTATAGCCTGGTGTCTGGGGACCCACCTTAGCCACTCAGGGACACTCACAAGCTCTCTCCCTGCTGGCAAACAGGCCCAGAAGAGTAGTCAGAGGGCAGGAGTCTTGACAGCTTTTGCTCAGGGGCTCACACTTGTGTGGGTCCCGAGCGTGGTTCTCTGTGTGGCCTTAGGTAAGTGGCTCAACCTCCCTGGTGCTCAGTCTTTCCATCTGTCAGATGGGAGCATTGTGGTACCACCTTCTGGAGCGCGGCGAGGGCAACAGGCACTGTGTGCGCTTTGGACGGAGTGGGTTCCCTGGCATCAGAGGCAGCTGGGGCGGAGCTTTGGGGCCAGTGACTCCAGCGAGGCCCTTCAGCGCTGGGTTTCCTCTTCTGTAAAGTGGGGCAGAGAAACTTCTGTACAGGACCCTTGAAAGAGGCTCAGGGCCAGGAGCACCAAGGAGAGACTTGCTCTCAGCAGGGCTGAGGATGAAGAGTAACCGTGGCGATGAGGAAGGCCAGCCGCCTCTTCTTTTAGTCACTCAAGGGTGTCCTGTTTTGTTCTCTACGATTTACCTGGATAACCATCCCGACCATCCTCGGGGGTGAACGCTGGCTCCCTGTTTAGAAGGAGAGGTCGAGTCACTGGTCCAACACCACACAGCTAGAGAGTGGCAGAGCCAGAACTCCAGCCCTGGTGGAGGGCAGGCAATGGAAGACTAACTAGAGCTTGGTCTCCTCTCTACCACTCCGCCTCTCCGGGCTGTATAAATACTGGGCTTATCATTAACTAGGCCTGTGTCTGACTCTGAGGAGGAGGGAGTGGGGCAGCTTCTGCCTGAACCCCCCACGGGACAGGGAGACATTGGCTGCACTTTGTGGAACTTCGATTTTCTCACCTGTGAAATAAATCCATAAAATCCACTGCCCTGGCGTCGGTTCTGACTCACAGTGCCCCGAAAGCTGCCCCTGTGGGTTTCCAAGGCTGTACATTTTTATGAGAGTAGAAAGCCTCATCTAGCTCCCTCGGGGCAGCTGGTGGGTTTGAACCACGGACCTTGTAGTGAGCAGTCCAACATGTCAGCCACTACATAAATCCAGCAGAGCGCACGTTTGCCAGGGTCAGGGGCTTCTGAACCCCACGGGGAGTCACGCACATGACCTTCGTGGCGCTGTCATTTTGCAGGAAGGAGACGGTCATTTCCTGGCCTGCCTGTGCACACCTCTGTTTCGGTGGTTGTGTGTAAGCGTGGCGATGCCCTTGGCGGGGTGTGTGTGTACACACAGCCATGTTGCTCTTTACCTCTTGGAGACTGTATGTCTGCAGCTTGGAGTGTGTGTGTGTCGGTGCTGGTGTGCCGGCGTGCACCACTGTGTGACCACTGGTGAGTGTAAATTCCCAAAGGTGTGCCTCTGCTTATTTGGGGAGGGGCATAGAGGGGCTGGCAGTGTGCCTGGGTCTTTGGGTTGCTGTGTGGGTGTGTCCAAGAAGGGGTTCAGAACCAGCAGCAGAACACACACACACACACACACACACACACACACACACACACTCCAAAACCAAAATCCAACCTCGCTGCCATCGAGTTGATATTCACTCACAGCGCCCCTCATAGGACAGGATGTAACGGCCCCTGTTGAGTTTCTGAGTTGGCACTCTTCATGGGAGTGGAAAGCCTCGTCTCTCTCCTGTTGGTTTTAAACTGTTGACCTTGCTGTTAGCAACCCAACGGGTAACCGCTATGCCACCAGGCTCCTGGCCACACTCACACAAGTCCCCCTTCAACAGTCCTGCAGAGGTGCTGGGGCACCACAGGGCCCTGAGGGCAGGGAACAGCAGGCTCCCAAACAACTAGACTACCTGACCTTAGACCCTAGCTGGGCCCAACTCCCTTCCCTCTGCCCCGCCTCCCCATTGCAGTCCAGAAGCTGCCTCCGGGGGGTGAGAGGTGTGTGCCCCCCTGCGTGAGTGTGTGTGTGTGTGTGTACACGCACACATGCCCCTGTACTTCAGATCTCCCCAGCTCTTCCAGCGGGCTACTGCCTGCTGTTCTGCTTGGCCCTCTGAGCAGAGAGAGTTAAGCTAGTGGGCCAGGGCGGTGTGGGCTGGGGGCCGCCCCCTGGCCCCCCTCCAGCCCCAGCTCCAGTTACAGCTGCTGGTTGGGGCGGGCAAGGACAGGGTGGGGCTTTGAGGGGAGATCCTTGGGGGCGGTGTCCAGCTCTGCGCCAGGGGACCCGCAGTGCTCCACCCCAGGCACAGGCACGGCTGGGTGTCTGGGGGCTTCTTCCAGCAGGGGACAGCCTGATTGGGGTGAGAGCCCCTCCACCCCGCCCTCCCCCTCAAGGCCTCACCCCTGCCCTGGTTGGGCTGCCTATTTTGGGAGCAGGAGTGGCCAGCCCTGTGGCTTCCCAGGCAGGCCAGACCCAAGAGGGAGGAGAGTGTGGTTGGGATTTGGGGGCTTCCTCTAGGGTGGGGGTGGGGTGCGTGTACCCTGCCTGGGTGGGGGCTTGGGGCACTCACGCGTGTGGCTCTGGCTGTGCCATCGTTGGGGGCCCAGAGGAGAGAATGGGTCAGCGGCGTTCCATTCCCTCCTAGCCCTTCAGCCGCTGGCCCGGGCCTCCTGTCACTGCCTGCTGTTGTCCGGTTATGAAGGAGGCTGGCTGCTGTCCCCTCTCGTGGAAAGGGGTGGCCTTTTCCATGGGGGCAGCCGTGGTGCAGTGGCAGCTGGGCCTTGCCCCTGCGAGCGGTGTGTGACCCCCGGGTGGGGGCAGGCGGCCTGTTGCCATGGTGGCCAGTGCGCGGTGAATTCCTCCAGGATGAAGTGGGAGATATTTATACCCAGGGTCAGGCAGAGAGAAGGCAGGCGGCCCAGGGCAAGGAGAGCTGGGATTTAGCCCCGCACAGCAAGCAGGTGGGCCCTTAAGCGTGTCCAGCGGTCTCTCTGTGCGTCTCTGGTCTGTCCACCAGGCCGACCTGTCTGTCCACACTACATCTGTGGGCTGAGGCGTCCCCTGCTGGGGAGGTTTAAGGGGTAGGTTTAAGGGGACCTGCTGTGGGGAGGCTTTCACACGTGCCCTTGTGTTCTCTGGTTGTGTGACCTCTCCCCGCCCCGCCCCAAGGGTGTGGGTGGTTGTGGTGACGCTATGTCCCCTTGGAGCAGGGGGCGCCCTTGCGTTTAGGGGCAACTGAGCTTGGATGAGGCTGGTGGGATTAAGACCTGGGAACGACTTGGATTCAATCTTGTGTGTGTGTGTGTGTGTGTGTGTGTGTGTGTGTGTGTAGGGGGGGGGGCAGGCCCTAACGGTGGGGGGTCAAGAGCACGCACTGACTGACCCTGGATGCCTCCCCAGGACAATGGCTCCGCTCAGCCCCATCGTGGTTCTCTGTGTGAGCCTCCTCGCCATGGCCAAAGCCGGTGAGTCTGGGAGAGACCTCTCCCCCCACCTCAGCCCCAAGGCCACAGGGCAAGGAAGCTCCCCATGACAATCCAGTTGGGAGACCCCAACCTAAACAGGGTTCTTTGGGTCAGCAATGAAGTTGGGCATCTCCACATAGGGTCCAGTCACAGGTGGGCATTTGAAGAAGGGGTAAAGGATGACCTCAGTCAGGCGTAGACAGGAGTGTTTATGGGGGCGGGGGTGGGGCAATATTGGAGGCTGGCTTCTTTGGGGAATGAAGGAATCATAGACAGAGAATTGGTGAAGTAAGGTGCCCCCCACCCTCCCCAGGGCAGTGCAGAGAGGGCAGCTAGAACCAGCTGTCTAGGGTTCAACAGCCCCAATCTTGCAGCCCCTAGGAAGACCTTAGGAGGGGTCCAACACCTGATTCTTCTTTCTCTTTACAGAAGCCCCACCGGAACACGACCCATTCACCTATGGTGAGGGTGTCTACCTGGGGGAGGGGGCTACCTGTCTGACATTCCCCTTCCCTCTGTCACAGGCTCTCCATCTCTCTGCCCTTGCCCTTTCTCCACGTATGTCCTCATCATCCCCCCTGTGTTGGTCTGTCCATCTCTTTCATACACTGGCTCTCCGAGTAGCATAGTGGATTATGCTCTGCTAACCCGAGTTCAGCAGTTCAAACCCAGCAGCTGTCACACACGGGAAAGATGAGCTTTCTGCCCCTGTAAAGGGTGACAGTCTCAGAAACCCACAGGGGCAGTTCGACCCTGTCCTACAGGGTCGCGATGAGGCGGATTTGACTGGAAGGCAGTGAGTTTTTTGAGATACTTTCAGTCTTGGTCCCCGACTTCTCCCCCCTCCTCTCCCTCTGTCTTTGTCTCATTCTTTGGGGGGAGGGGGGCAGTAGAGAGGGGGAATTATTCCCCTCCCCAGGTAGCCGCTCTTCTTTTGCCTAGGAGGGGGCTTCAAAATCTTCATGGAAAAATGAAATGCAAAGATAATTCAATTTTTCCACGAACTTTTTGAAGCCTCCTGGGTTCGATGTCTCATGGCCCCTCCCTCCTGCCCCATCTGGTCACTGCTTTCTCCCCTGCTCCTTCCTCCCTTCACTCCCTCCTCCTCCTCCTCTCTGGACAACCCCTCCCCATCACCTTCCTCCCCCCTCTCCTCCTCCTCGTCCTCCCCAGCTCATCTGTCTCCATTTCGCCCTTCTCATCCCTCTGCCCCGCTGCCTGTAGACTACCAATCCCTGCGGATCGGAGGCCTCACCATCGCGGGGATCCTTTTCGTCCTGGGCATCCTCATCATCCTCAGTGA